CGTACATTATTATTGCATCTATGCGAGGATACGGGTCCTACGCTTAAGCATGCACACACACACACTCACACACATACATATATTATTCAAATCCAGCTTAAAAATTAATTTAACGATACGGAAGCGTCGAATTTCAAATACAATAAATAAATAACATTTTCAACGATAGGCAATATTGATTTGCGTTGATTTGTTAAAAAGGCACAGCTTTAATAAATTTAATTTTTAAAAATATAATCCTTTTCGATAGATCCTTTCCTCTCCTTGCACGTCTCAATCGCCAGTCATCATTTCCATGAATTCTGTAAAGAAAAAATTAGAAAAACTCAAGAAATCGAATCTAATTTATTATAAATGTATAATATAAATTTATTATTAAAATTTTGTTTTCTATAATAGATAAGTAATTTCTATCTCTGATAATAATCTAACTTCTGTTAAATTATTATTATTACTATTGTTATATTATTGTTATTGTTATTATTGATGTTAGTATTAAGATTTATTGAAAAACCACTGAGTGAGTCTGATATCATTCTACGTCCATTACTACTTCGCAATATATTTATTTCTCTTTACAATAGTCAATAGATACCATAATCAATAATTTTTCGTCATTATATCACATCGCAACATTCGAATCGATTACGAATATAACCCTCTTTTATTACTGTTCTTCTTCGTAACGCGTTCAATCATAAATGGCCCATTACACTACTCCTTCTTTTCTCTCGGATTATAAATTATGTATGATTATGTTCTGTTCTAGATACGTAAAATACAACGAACTATAAAGAAAAATTCTTTTGATCGTTTATTTTTTCCAATAAAATGTCAATTAAATATCTTTTTATTGCACTCATTAAGAGCATAATAAAAGTGTTTATAGAAATCGTATTTATAATTTTATTTTTTATTATTGCAATATGAAATTTTTGAATGATTTTTTTTATATATTTATTTATTTATTTATTTATTTATCTATATATATATATATAAATGTAGATTTCGTTTGTGCCTAATTGGTAATCTCCAAAAATACTTTACTGATTGTCTTGAAATTTTGACACAACGTTGCATTCGTATACAGCTAGGTTTTTAGTACATTAATTTATTCATAAAATAATTATTTAATTTAAAAAAAAAACGAAAAAGATAAAAGTAAGTTCAGAGCCATCTGTTGGTCATAGATTTCGGTGAGTGTGCGAAACAGTTGAACATAACCTAACTTTTATTTATACAATACGTCATATTTTGACTCACATGAGTCACAGTAACGCGTGGTGGATCACAGCTAGTATATTACAAATATATATTTTTTTTAAAATAATATATAATTATATTTTTTATTATTGTAATACGAAATCTTTTTTAACGTATGTTACGAACGAGAATAAATTTTTAACTATCAAATTTATTTGGAATTCACTGAACTTATGGATTTTCTATATATAGAGACAAATTCTTGAATATCTCTAAATCTTGAAAATTCAAAGTTGCATCTTTTCGAAAACATAAAAGAATTTCGCTTGATCGAACTTTCGAAGAAAAATGGATGGAAAAATGTTAAAAGAGCGAATAACGTTTTAAATCGATTTCGAGTAAATCGAACGTATTTCCGTTTCTATAACTTTTAACGAGACTTCCATCATTTTATTTATTTTCTTTTATAAGCTTCGTTATACGCGAAAGAAACTTTTATTCTTGTTTTTTCTTTTTTTTTTTTTTTTCTATCTAATTAACACACACACGTAACACGCATTTTCATTTCCCTCGTATATCATTTCTTAGTAATATAATAAAAGTAAATAATTGGAAATGGAATTGCAGTTTATTTATTTAAATTTGAATTCCATGAATTTAACTTTAAGCTTTGATGTTTTCATATGATAATTGAAATTTAAAAAAAAGAAAAGAATGATAAGAAAAAAACCTCGTTTCTTCTTTCATAAACATGCTTCCCCATCATGTTTTTATAATATAATTTTAATAAAAGATAAACTTATCGTTTTTTTCTTTTGACATATATTTTGACAAAAGAATAGAAAAAATCTTAGTATTTCTTATGTTTGAAAATGTTCATTTATGCATATATATATTTTTGCAAATTTGCAAGTTGTTAACAGTCTAATTCAAAGCGTCCATTTTGTAGCTACTTAAAAATTCACACGTATAATATGGAAAATGTGGTAAACGAGAAATATTCGTACAAAGCCAAGCGTGAATAAAGGTTGAAGTGTGTCTGTGTGTGTATAGAGTAGTAGTTCCTTTCATTCGTGATAGAAATGCTTTGAAGGATAGAGATATTACGCGTAATTAAAATTTTAACTTTTACACCTGATAATATGTGTAAGTAGAACACATATACGAACGTTATTTATCTATATGTTGTCCTCTTCTTTTATGATACGAATGGGTCTTCTCGTTATTAACGTTAAATTTGTTTGAAAGCTTTTAATATCGAAAGAAATAAAATATATTACTTGTGGTATCTCATTACCCTAATATCATACTACTGCTACAGCCTATTTTGTCTATATTTAATTGCTATGATGTTATAGAAAAAATGAAAATAAGATAAATGAAAGACACTTGGAAAAGGTCATCGTCAAAGTAAACAAATTAAGATAGATTGAAAGACTTTTGGAAAAATTCATCATCAAAATAAAACAAATTAAGATAAATTGAAAGACTTTTGGAAAAATTCATCGTCAAAGTAAAACAAAAATAAGATCAATTGAAATATACTTTGAAAAAGAAACTCACCGTCAAAGTCAACGGTACCGGAACCGTCGGTGTCAATTTCAGCGATCATGCCATCCATTTGATCAGGCGTTATTTGATCGTCTAAAGCTGCCAAGATTTCACGAAGCGAACTAGTTGGTATATAACCGTTACCCTCTTTGTCGTATAAACGGAATGCCTCTTTGAGTTCTTTTTGAAGGGCCTCGTCGTCTTCTTCTTGAAAATGCGTTGCCACACGATAAAACGAATCAAAATTCAATTTACCGCTTCCTAGAAAAATTACAAAAAATAAAACATGATTAAGTTTTTAATTAATATTTTAAATCAAGTAGTCAAAAATTGAATAATATTTTTTGATAATATATCAATTTAATTGAATATAATATATTAAATGATTTTATTATTATTGTTTTTGAATGCAATTATGTATGAAGATTGAATCATGTTCAAGATGAAATCATTATACACGGTTCATACGATAAACAATACACGTGTAATATACATAGAAAGTGAGGGGTGTACATATATAATAATGGTACTATCTGCATGATAATACTCCCTACTATATATACCTGGAAAGGATAAAGGACGCAGGAGTTGCATCAGAGCATTGTCTCGATTCCGAGGCAATTCAGAGGACCGAAATCTAATTTAAGGGCCGATTTAGAAGCTGAGCCATGCTACAATGGCTAAAGCACCTGTGAGTCTCGTTCGTAAACGACATCGAACGCTGATAAAGCCGTTCCATTGTTTGTTAGAAAAAAAAACAAAGAAGAAGACTATAGGAAAAAAAAAAAGAAAGGAACTTTAACGACCATTTGGTACAATTTAAATCCGTAGAATTTAGGATACTATACTCATTTCTCGAAGTAACGAAATCTTCGATTCTAACAAAATAAATCAATCGTTAACACGAACAATATTCTTATTTGACATGGCTTGATATATTTAATTATGCAAATTTCAATTGATAGGGTTTCAATTTTATTAATTTTGAAATTTTTGAAAATCCTTTATTTTGATTTTTATTTTATCATTGGTGTTTGATATGTTATATTTGGTATATAATTATATGTTACTCTGTGAGAAAGATATCGAAATTTTAGAATGTCAAGATTTCTTACATGATCGCTTGTCAACACGTAACAAATTTGTCAATTAAAAATTTGAATATTTGGATTTATTTTTATACATTAATATTTCGGATATAATACACCGTATATATATATATATATATATATACGAATTTATGATTTTTCCTGATACCTTTTTCATTAAAATAACATCGTAATATCAAGATTCACATGGTTAATTATCAACACATAACAATTACGTCGATGAAAGACCGAATATTTGAATTTATTCTTATTCATTAATATTTCGGATATAATACACCGTATATATATATATATATATACTCGAATTTATGATTTTTCCTGATACCTTTTTCATTAAAATAACATCGTAATAGGGTAAATGTTAGTGACATTATATTTATCACAAAACTAGATCGGTCAGTTTTCCATAACTTTGTTCGTTATAAGTACAAAGAGTAATAGAGAAAGAGATAGAAAGAGAGAGAGAGAACAAAACGTTAATCCTTTTCGAAGTGTTACTCGAACGTTCCACTACGATACGATCTTAATTAATATCTTACAGTGGGATATAAATTACGTCAAAGTTCGAGCGACTTTTCTAGCTCGTTACGAGTTTCTCGTTCGTTAATAGTTTCCCCTATTCGATAGCGATGTCCTACTCTATTGCTGCAACTACTTCTTTTACTTCTTCCTCATTTTCTTCTTCTTCATTTTCTTCTTTTTATTTTTTTTATTTTTTTTTTTTTTTTAAACCGAAAGAATAATTTTCTTCTCTTACTTTGAAACAAGTATCATCGTATGAATTTTAAAAAATCAACAATTTTACTTTATTCAACCTTTTTTTTGGTACTTTTTGTTTATTTTTTGATTGAAGGTTCGAAATAATTTTCAAAATATCAGAAAGATATTAAAAAAAAATATCTAAAAATGGAAAAATTGGTTACTCACCATCTTCATCTTCCTGTTTCAATAATACTTCGAGTTCATGGTCGTCAAAAGTGTGTCCTAGAGTATTTAAGATGGTCCTGACCTTTTCCTTTTCGATTCTCCCGGATTTAGTGGAATCAAACATGGAAAAAGCTCTCCTGAGCACTACGGAAGTAATCAAAAACGAATTTTTTGAAAAAAGAAATTACAAAAAAATAAAAAAATAAAAATGAAATAAAAATAAGAAGAAAACGTTTTTTTTTTCGAAATATTATGATTATTTTTAATTCTATTTTTCACCAAGGATATATAAACAAAGTTAATTCCAATTATAACGACAACGTCATTGCCGTTTTTACAATTTGTTTATACATATATAGGTTATGCCAGGAACGCGGGTATCGAAATAACGCGGCAGAGTCAATCAACAGTTTATTTTTCATTGGCAACCTCCTTTTAAACTCATCTGTCGGTTTATCTTTCAGCTTTTATGTGAATACTTTTTCCTAAAAGCTTAATTTTACTCCCAATATTATTTACATATGCATATATATATCAAAAAATTGTAGATAATTTATAACATCGGATTTTGTTTTTCTTTTCTAAACCAACGACACATAATAATAATCTTTATAATAATATTAATTGATTTGTCTTATTTTAATATTGACAATATTAAAATAACAAACAACAAATCAAATTAATTTTAATTATCAATAAATATAAATAATAAATACTAAATTAATATTGACAATATTGAAATAACAAACAACAAATTAAATTAATTTTAATAATGTGTGAATAAATATAAATAATAAATATTAAATTAATATTGACAATACTAAAATAACAAACGAAAAATCACGTAAATTGTTATTAATGTATTAATAATAGTATTGTAAATATTTATAACTTGAACCAATTAAAATCTATATTTAAAAATATATATTTTGACAAAATCCAGTTGAACGTTTCCATATGGCGGATATAACACATCCGAAAACACTCACATGTCGCAATGACAAATTTTAACGAAAAACTGTGTCTGTTGTAAGATTGATCATTCAGATGATTCTGTATCTCGTAATATAAAACGAAAGATTTATATATCATTATCTTTGATACTTTACTCCGAACTATAGATGATACTTGTTGACATGATAACGATAGATAAATAGTATGCCGTGTTTTAACTTTCATTTTTATTCTTCTCTTCTTCAACCATGATCATAATAAATTCCTTTTGAGATTTTCTCGCGAAAACAATTCGTATTTAACCCTTTGCACACGAAGTTTTTTTTCATTCATATTATCAGCAACTCAATTTCGATAAAAAAAAAAATCATATTTACATATTATAAGTAAATGATATATGTACATTAAAAGAAAACTCACAGTTGATATGTTGTAGACAAAATTGAATTTGTTTTAATTTTTTCTTTTTTCTTGTTATTTATTTTGTTCGTTCTCTCCATAGCGGAGCCCTCGACTGCAAAGGGTTAACTAACCTAATTTCTTTACTTTCTCTCTTACTTTTGGAGTGTATAATTATTACGCGTATAAAATTTCAAACAATAGTTCGTAAAATTAAATAAATTCGTAAAAAACATACGTGATACGAAGTATTTCAAAATAATAAACGACAATCACTTACTTTGTACTTGTTCCTCGTCCTGAAACAAATCAAAGGAATGACGGCGTTTTAATAAACGATATAATTATAATTTAATAATTATAACTAAAGATTATTTTAATACGTAAGGAAAGAAATTAAAAAAAAAAAAAACAAAAAGAAAAAAAGAGAGATCACACAAAATGAATAATTAAAAAATCGAACAGAAACCTTTGAATGATTCGTTAATGTTAACGAGATAAATGATTTTGGTCAATTTCACTTGCAATAGTTGTGTTGAGAAAGTCCACTTCTGGGACTTTTTCAAGGTCCCAGAATAATAAAACATATATATGATTAATTATCAAAAATATTGAGCTGTATGATAAGTTCGAACGCATTTCCTTATCGATCTTGTGATCCTAATCGTATTTCGATCGATTCATGTGTAATAATAACAAAATTAAATAGAATAATAATAATAAAATAAATAATATATAATTAATAAAAAAATAAATAAAATAATAATAATAATATTACAAATAGAATAACTATAATAAAATTTTCCCTTTTTGGTCGAAGAAAAAGGGGTACAACAAAAGGGTGAACTTTTTTCCAAAAAAATAACTGTACTCCTTACTATTTTTCTTATTTTTTTTTTCCACCTCCCCTTTATGCCCTCTCTCTATTTTTTTCCTTTTTTTTTTTTTTTTCATTCAATCCATATATGCACAAAAACAACGCACGATAGAAAAACCACCATAGAAACCAACCATTTCGTCGAGTTTGTTCTTTCCCCTTTTTGTTTTGTATTTTCTCGATCCTCCTCCTGTTTCTTCTTTTTTTTTTCTTAATCGTTAGAGTATCCAGAAATGGGGAAAAGATACAAAGATTTTGGGACGACACTTTTTTCGTTAATTTTTTTTTCTTCTTCTTGTCTTGTTATTTATTCTTCTTATCCCTGTTCTTCTTTTTCTTCTTCTTCTTCTTCTCTTTTTTTCTTTTTTTTTCTTCACTCCAATTCCTGACCACTTACTCGCCGTTCGTTTCAACACTAAACGTCCAAAGCTGTGCCGAATATCTTTTATAAGCTCCAACGTGGAAAGAGTAAACTCAGAAATTCTACTCCCCCATACCTCCTCCTCCTCCTCCTCCCGGAACGAAGGAACGAACGAGTTTTCTTCATTCGTTTTCTCTTCACTTCTCTTCTCTCTTCTCTTCTCTCTTCTCTTCTCTTCTCTTCTCTTATTCGCTGCTATAATGCTACAGTTCATCCTGAAATTGTTCAACCAATCGGAAGGGGTCACGAATTCGACGTTATTTTCCCAGTGCCACTCGTTTCGATCAACTACTCTCTTTCGGTAAGGAAAGGTAGTTGAAAAAGAATAAAAAAAAAAGAGAAAAAAAATATAATAGAAAAAAAAAAAGGAAAAAGGAAAGCTTTCGATAAGCTCATTCCAATGTTCTTCTTCTTAAAAGAGAAGTATCTCGTTTGAATTGCTAATTTTTTTATTTCTTTTATCTTACTTCGGAAAGTTAGTTTTTTATTTGTAGAATAGATCTTCGAAATTCTATCAGATAAATGTATATATATATATATATATAAATAAATGGTATATATTTACTAGTTATTTAATTTAGTTTATCTTAATTTTTTTTTTGTATAGATTTTCGAAATTCTATCAAATAATAATAATAATATAATTTTTTTATATATTATTTTTTAATTAATATATAAAAATATTTTTTATATAATATTTTTTAATTTTATATATATNTATATATATATATTTTTTTTTTCATTTTTTGTTGCTGTTTTTTTTTTTAGTACAGGTCTTCGAAATTCTATCAAATAATAATAATAATAATAATATTTTTATATATTATTTTTTAATTAATATATAAAAATATTTTTTATATAATATTTTTTAATTTTATATATATATATATATTTTTTTTTTCATTTTTTGTTGCTGTTTTTTTTTTTAGTACAGGTCTTCGAAATTCTATCAAATAATAATAATAATAATAATAATAATAATAATAATAATAATAATAATAATAATAAATATATATTAAATAATATAATTTTTTTATATATAAAAAAATGGTATATCTTTACTCGTACTTATTTTTTTTTTTCCGTTAAATATTTCCCTAAGGATCGGCAAAAGATACAAAATGCGTTGGAGAAAAAAAAAAAACGATGAAAGTATTTCACGTTTTTAAAGAGGATGCTCGTAGAAATCAGTCGGTCGTGACTGTGTTAAAGGAAAAAGAAAGAGAGAAAATATGAAAAGGAATGAAGTGGAGAAGGGGAGGGGACCTGTGCTATTTCAAAACATTCCAGGCTATGATATTGCTGCTTTCCATTGGTCTACCACGTCCTCCCTCGATGAAGAAACCTATCGACGAATTCTTTTTTTTATCGGTTAGCAAGAAATTTAATATATTCTGCCGAATTTTTGTTCTAATCTCACGTTAAATAATTCTTCAATGTTTTTTATCAATGAAAATAATCGAGAAATATAATTGATATTTTGTTACACGCTTATTTATATGCATATCATATTTTGTTCTTTTATTTTATATTATTTTTATTGATGAGATAAACAAACCCATTGATAGTTAAAAAAAAAAAAGAAATAAAAGAATACAAAGAAAATACAAAGAAAAAAAAAGAGAAAGTTAATAAATAATAAAAATATAAATTAAGCTATTTATAATGCATTTAACAAAAAAAAATAAAAAAGTATATAAAGATATTTACAAAAAATAAAAAAACAATGAATTAAGCAATAAATAATAATTTGCAATAATTTATAATAAATTGTACAATTCTACAGTGAATTTAGACAGAATTTAATGGAGGATATGTATTGGTTGAAAAGATCAAATGAGAATTCAAGTGATTAACTGATTGGGACATTCTGTTGATACAGTTGTGATAAGTAGTATGATGAACTCTGATGTGGTGATTAGGTGATTAGGTCATAATTCCTAAGATTTCAAGAAGGATATATGGAAAGGAAATAAGTATGTATGTTATATTATTTATCCCATCCAAACAATTATTTATTTGCTACAAATATTTTGATTTTTAATCATATAAGTAATAAGCGTACATTTATTAGATGAACGATAACATAAATTAAAAGATTGATATTCGAGAAAATTGCTAAATTGAATTATATGAAAATGAAATTATATTGTACTATATATCTTATATAATTATATTATATAAATATGAAATTATATTATATAATTATGTTATATATATAATATAAATTATATTTTTATTTATTTATTTTTTATTAATAATTTTATTAATTTTTCTTTTATTATTTTATTCTAATATATTTTTATTCTATAATAATAAATCTAATTTAATTATTTAATTAAAATTTTATCATTTTATTAATTTATATTTTATTATAATAATATTAAAGAATTTATTGTATTATTTCATAATTTATTAAATTATATAATATAATAAATTAATTAATATTATTATAATATAATTTATATTATATATATAATATTATATTATTATTATTATTATTATTATATAATGTAATTATAATATATAATTTTATATTACATTATAAAATACAATTATATTATATATGTATTTATCTTTAAAAAAAATATGTACCATTTTTAATTTTTAAAAGTAAACAAATCAATAAAATTTTGTCTGTTCTTCTTTAGTTGTTCGAGATGATATCTTCAAATAATTTGGTAACATTACAGGTGTAAAAAGAATCAAAGATTTGCATTAATTATCCAACCAATCGATATCGTAGATTCTTTTGATTCTATTCGATGCAACGAAGAATACTTAAACTCGACTAATGAAATCAAACAAAAAACTAAAGTAGAAAAAAGAATAGAAAAATAGGGTTGTAAAAAAAAAAATGTATTAACACGATATAATCGTGTTTCTAGTTAACCATTAACCTCTAATTAAACAACTCGTTTACGATAAATCTCAACGTTGAAACTTTCCACGTAACTGCTCGAGAGTTTTCCACGTGTACTACTAATGAGATGTATATTCCAGGTATAGTATGTACGTATCTTGTAGATCGTACAAGGTCGGACAAATTAGCAAAGCTCCATGTCGTATTTTCTTTCTTTTTTTTTTTTAATTTTATTTCTAATCCGATACGAACCAACAGCAACAATCCGCTCAAACTATCAGTTTGTAATCACTTAACAGGAGTAACTCGTAATTTAAATGTAATTTACTATTTTAATAATGTAAAATCTTTTTGTAATTAACTTCAACGTGTTATTTGAGAAATGAACATTAATAAAAAAGAGAGAAAATTGCCAGTATAACGTTATTTATATTAGAATTAATTTACATTTAATATACAGGTTATTAAATTTGTATATATATTTTATATTTTTAAATAAATTTCTTTCAGATTTCAATTCGATGTGCTCTCGCGTAATTTATATTGACAAAAAATTAATCATTATCATATATAATTTATAATTTTATATCGTTATCGTTTAAATTCACGTAACATTACGAAATACACACAATTCAAAATGTTATAACTCAAAGTGTCTTATTTCTTAATTGTTTTTCTCGTTTGGAAAAAAAATTCCAAAACTATTTATATTAGAATTAATTCAAATTTAATATAAAGTTTATTAAATTTGTATATATTTTATAGTTTTAAACAAATTTCGTTAAGATTTCAATTCGATTAGCAATCTCGTAATTTATATTGACAAAAATTAATCATTATCATAAACAATTAATAATTTTATATTGTTATCGTTTAAATTCACCATAACAAAGTATACTCAATTCAAAATAATTTAATTTTTAATTGTTTTTCTCGTTTGGAACAAAATTCAAAAACGAATCGAAGGAATCGGAATGTTTCGCGAATTTGATTAAATCAACATTTACCGGAAAGGTAAGATTTTGTTTTCTTGACGGGGGTTAGGCCAGCATCATTGGTGTATGGCGGTGTCTTACTCAAGAACGTGGCAAATACGTGGTAAGAGCTATAATTATCTTCACGGATCTACTACCCACGCGAGAAATACCATATCTCTCTCTCTCTCTCTCTCTCTCTCTCTTTCTGTTTTCCTTTTTTTCTTTTTTTTTCGTTCTTTAAATTTCTCTGTCTTTTCCTAGCTCATTCCTGAATTATTATTTTAAATAAACCTTGGAGATATTTTTCAAGCTTCTGCTATATTTAATCACGAATTCCAATCACAAATTGTTATTCATCAAAATTATAACTTTAACAATTAATTTCTCCATTTTCCTTTCTTTTTCATTCCCTCCTTCCATCTTTCATTCGTTTTTTTAATCCATTACCCGCTAATTTTGAATTGTTTTTTTTTTTTTTTTTATTTAATAACTGCAACTTCAGAACGAAATATATTTGTTAAAATCGTAAGATCGTACCTGTCGTACTTCATGAAAATATTCAAAATTATTACACTACTATTATTACAACATTTCTTTATTTATTAATTATTAATTATTACAACACTATTTTATTTCAAATTGATAATTAATGATATAGAATAATATTTATATTTAAATAAATAAAAAAAAAAACAATTGTTTCATAAATTGTTCTATTTGGTTTGTACGAATATTATTGCACGGTTAATTTAATTTTTTTTTATTTTGCATTTTCGAATCGTTACAGGTAATGGGTTAACACAAATTCGTACATTAAAAATTTCATCTGTTTAAATCTTACAGATATAACAGTTAAAAATTCTTCTGTTACTGAGAAATACTTCTGTTACTTATCATTAAATGAATTACTTATCATGAAAAAAGAAAAGAAAAATTAAAATTAGAACTAAAGTATTTCGAGATAATGGTGGTATTGCTGTTACACGTTTTCAATTCTCTTATTTCAACGATTTCATCGTACACCATATTTTTCTTCATTCATGACTTTTCATCGAGTCGATGAACAAGGAGTTTGTTAAAACAAACTTCAATTTACTCTTACGTTAGCATTCTCCTCGTCGTATAT